CCCACAAGGCCATTAATTTTCAAAAGGTGCAGGAGGTCATTCAGAAGAAGGAAGAAACACCTTCAGAATTCCTGGATAGACTAACCAAGGCCCTCCAACAGTACACAAACCTTGACCCAGAAACTCCTGACAGCCATCATGTCTTAATGACATATTTCCTGGCCCAAAGCTACATTAAAGCCAAGCTTAAGAAGTTTGAACAGGGCCCTGCTACTTCTCAGACTGAAATCCTCGTGGTTGCTTTCAAGGTTTTCCATGGTAGAGAAGACGAAAGTGAACACTGCAGGCAGAGTGCTGAAAATGCCAAATTCCAAATGTTGGCCCAAGTCATTCATGGAAGGTCATCATCACACCGTCCTAATAAGACACCCCCTGGAACTTGCTTCAAATGTGTTAAGGAGGGACATTGGGCCAGGGATTGTCCTTCGCCCCCTGCCCAAAATGCCACCAAAGTGGGCACTGGGGGGGCAGACTGCCCAACAACCCAGAGTGGAGCCCTGGGCCTTCCCTCCCAACTATTACCATCAAGAAGCAAGAGCCTAGGGTCACCTTCCTGGTGGATGGACACTCATTACCTTCCTCTTGGATACTGGTGCCACTTTTTCAGTCTTGAGGGAGTATTGGGGTCCTACCACACCCTCAAAAACTCCTATTGTTGGGGTAGGAGGTAAACAGATTTTCCCTCAAAACGCCCCCCCCCATCATGTTATATTCAGGGATTCTTTTTGTCCTTCACACACTCCTTTCTCATTATGAGCCATTGCCCAATTCCTCTTCTGGGAAGGGACATACTCTCACTATTGAAGGTCACCATTCACATATCACCCTCCATCTCCCCCGCCTCTCATTTCCTCATGATGATCCTAGGGACAGATACACATCCATCATGCACTCTCCCATGACTATCTAAACCAGTTAATCCTGAGGTTTGAGACACAACTACACCCTCTATGGCTAAATGCAGTCCTATTCATATTGTCTTATGGAACCCTTCAAGATATATTAGTCAACCACAATATCCTCTTACAACCACAGCCCTCCTCGGATTAGAACCCATCATCCATGATTTATTACAGAAGGGGTATCTTAGGCCTACACACCTCTTTCAACACCCCCATTCTGGCAGTTAAGAAACCTAACAGGTTCTACAGACTGGTTCAAGACCTTCGCCTTGTCAGCTCCTCTGTGGTCCCTATCCACCCACTAGTGCCCAACCCCTACACCCTCCTCTCTCAGATCCTTGCTACTACTACCCACTCCTAAGTCCTAGATTTAAAGGATGCCTTCTTTTCTATTCCCTTGTCCTCAGAATCTCAGGATATCTTTGCTTTTACATGGACTGACCCTCACACCCTCCATTCTCATCAGCTTACCTGGACCGCCCTTCCGCAGGGATTCAGGGATAGTCCCCATCTCTTGGGCCAGGTTCTTGCCCAGGACCTCACATCCTTCCACTCCACCTGTCCTGACTCTACCCTCCTTCAATATGTCAATGACCTTCTTCTATGTAGTCCCTCTTGGGAACACTCTCAATCCCACACTGCCCAGCTTCTCAATTTCCTAGCAGGTAAGGGATATAGGGTGTCTCCCCACAAGGCCCAGGTTTCCCAGTCTACTGTCACCTACCTTGGTTTTCACCTTGCACTGGGAAAAAAGGAAATAACACTGGATAGAAGGCAACTCCTCTCTAATCTTCCAGTGCCTCATACAAAAGCCAAAATACTATCATTCCTAGGACTAGCAGGATATTTTAGGGCCTGGATCCCAAATTACTCTCTTCTAGCCAAACCCCTGTATGACCAAGCAAAGGGACCCCCTGGTGAATCTCTCACCTCCTCCCCACCGATACCACTTCCGCAGACTTCAGCAACTCCTCTTAAAGGCACCCGCCCTTCACCTTCCCGATCTTTCAAGACCATTCCACCTATATGTCCATGAAAAAGGGGGGCAAGCACTTGGGGTTTGGGTCAAAACTATGGACCTACATTTGCACCTGTGGCATATTTGTCCAAGCAATTAGACCCTACCATCCGTGGGTGGGCACCTTGCTTAAGAGCTCTGGCTGCTGGACAAATTTTACACAAAGAAGCCTCTAAGCTGACTTTCGGGGTCCCTTTAACTATCCACTCCCCACATTATTTGAAAGATCTTTTAGCTTATAAGGGCCTTTAAACCTTTCCTCCATTCAGAGTCCTGTCACTCCTCACTTCCTTTCTGGAAAACCCTAATATTATGTTCCTCCCCTGCCCTGCACTGAACCCTGCCTCACTGCTCCCAATGACCCCCACACCTGACACACCAGCTCATAATTACTTGGAAACCTTGGATGATTTCCTCCCCTGTCATTCTTCCATTTCTGAGGGACCACTAACCAAGCCTGACCTTATCTGGTTCACTGATGGCAGTTCCTTTAGGAAGAACGGCACTCATTACTCTGGATACGCCGTAGTTTTGGCCACTGAGATTATAGAGGCCAAAGCTCTGCCTTCAGGTACTACCAACCAGCAGGCCGAACTTGTAGTGGCCACTGGTGCCTGCCTTCTAGCACAGGGAAAATCCCTCACCCTTTATACTGACTCAAAATATGTTTTCCATATTCTATTATCCCATGCTGCAATATGGAAGGAGTAAGGCCTACTTACCACCAAAGTTAATGCGATCACTAATTCGGCTCTTATAACCAATTTGATAGAGGCCTCCCACTTACCCATCCAGTTGGGAGTTGTCCATTATAGGTCCCATCAGAAGGATGGCTCTCTTATCACTGAGGGCAACGCCAAAGCTGACCAGGTGGCATGAATGGCTGCTACCACTTCCAATTATGACCCCCCTAGGGGACATATAATGGCCACTTTAGACCGTCCATCTGAAGCCCCTACTTCTTCCAGTAAGAACAAGGATCTTTTTGAGTTCCTCCATACTCTATTCCATTCCAATTCTCAGTCTTTGATCCTCTCTTTACAGAGCTTCTTCTCCCTCATCCCCTCTGACAAAGCCATGCTACAGAGTATAGCCTCTAATCTTTAGATCTGTCAGCGGACCAACCCTCATACTCCTTTAAGGCCTAAACCATTTCCCTCCCACCAAGCCCGGGGACATATTCCTGCTGCTGACTGGCAGGTAGATTTCACCAACATGCCTACAGTACGGCACACTAAATACCTCCTTGTCTTTGTGGACACTTTCTCTGGTTGGGTTGAGGCATTTCCCACTTCCAATAAAAAGGCTTCCACTGTAGCTTCAATCTTACTGACAGACATTATTCCCAGGTTTGGTATGCCCACTTCCCTACAATCCAACAATGGCCCTGAGTTTATTTCTAGGATCACACAAAAGGTCTCTAAAGCCCTCTCCTTCAAGTGGCATTTCCACTGTCCATATCGCCCCCAGGCTTCAGGGAAAGTGGAAAGGGTAAATCGGACTCTGAAGGAAGTCTTTACCAAATTGACAATGGAATTAAACTTAGACTGGGTCAAACTCCTTCCCTTGGCTTTGCTTCAGATCAGAGCTCTCCCTAAGAAACCATCTTTATTTACAGTCTCCATTTGAGATAATGTATGGAAGACCTCTTTTACCACCTGGGTTAGTCGTTTCACAAGGACCTCTCACACGAGATTTGTCTTTACCTCTCTTGTTTCAACTCTGCTCAGAACTCTGGAAATATCAGGACTGGCTTCTTCTGGACCCAGACTCCTCTCCAAACACTCCTCTCTTAACACCTGGGAGTTTAGTCTATTATAATACCCCAGAGGAGAAAGGGCCTCTTGCCCCAAAATGGTAAGGCCCCTATCCAGTCATTCTCTGTACCCCCACCGCCACCAAACTCTCCTTACCAGACAACCATCTCACCCCCTGGATTCACATTTCTAGGTTGAAGCCATATCACCAAGAGGCCCCACCTGCTGATTACAGGACCACCCCAGAGGAACTCCAAGAGTCACCTCATGAACCTCCCCTTTACTCCTGCTCTCCACACCCATCTCATCCCTTTAAGTTGCAGCTCACACAGTGTTCCCTGCAGCCCAATTCCTCTTAAAGAAGGCACAATGAGATTTCCCAACACCCTAATCCTCTCTCTCTGCTTGTTTTTTGTGCTCTGTTTGTTTTCTGGGCTCTGTTGGGACTGGTCTTTACCTTCCTCTCCTACCATGTACCAATTCACCCTTCAGGAATGATACTCGGAACATGGCATGCAGAACGTCCGCATAGTGGATGTAACTACTTGCTTCATCCACAACTGCACCACTGTTTCCCTAAAATTGTCACTTTCCAGGACCTTCGTCCCTGATAGCTGGAACTGGCCTTTCACTTGCTTCCTTTTTGATCAAACCAAAGACTATTGCCGTTGGTGGCCTGAGGTATATAATGGGTGCCCCTATTGGTCATGCAGGCTCCATGATGAACACGGTAGTTATTCTTATCTCTCACTTGGCTACCCTGAAGGGTGGACTACTAGTTACCTCAAATGGCATAAGGGCTCTCCATGCAATAACAATGGATGTATACTTTAGATATACCTGACCCCAAGGTCAAGCATTGGGACTATGTTGAGTTTGCTGTCTATGCTCGGACAACTTCAGCCAAACCCACAGAATGGATGACTGTTGGCCGCTCCCTGATAACGCCACCTAAGGCAACCATCCAGGTAGTCGAACACATCAAGGAGTCAGAATCAAAACTTCGAGATCTTATCCATAGCTCATCAAAAGGGGATTCAGAATCTTTAACCCCCTCAGGCCCCCCTCCCACATGGCTTAATTTGCTACACCAAACCCTCCGATTATTAAACTCCACTCCTTTTTCTGTGCCAACTTCTCAGTGCTTCCTCTGTGCTTCACCTAGTCATCTGCTTCTAGCAGCAGTCTCATTAGTGGCAGGAAATATTTCAGCAAAAACCTACAATTTCTCTAATAAAGGACAAGCCCTAGATGTGGCACATATCCCATTATGGGAAAGTTATTCCACCAATGCTTCATTCCCTTTCATCTGTTTTCACCCACCAATAATGAATCCTTCACCCATTTGTTCCTTGAGCTATAGCACCCCATTGAGCCTTGCGTTTATGCAACCTGGACATTTCCTCTGGTGTAACGGGTCTTTAAGTACCTCAACGACCAATGTCTCTGGCCCTGTTTCTTGGTTACTGTAGTCCCTCAGCTGTCTTTGTACATTCCCACCGAATTCCAACAATTGACACTGACTTCCTGCACTGTAGGGCAGTCTTTCTGCTGGTTCTGGTAGGCCTCACATTATCAACCTCAGTGGCGAGTCTTGGACTCTCTGGTGGAGCTATAGGTCATGCTCTATAGGCATCCAATGACCTTCAACAAAAACTTCAAGAAGCACTCGATACCACTGCTGAATCTCTGGGCTCCTTGCAGCAGCAGGTTACTTCATTGGCACAGGTGGCTTTACAGAACCAGTGGGCAATTGATCTCCTCACTGTAGAGAAAGGGGGTGCATGCCTGTTCCTCAGAGAGGAATGTTGCTACTATGTTAATGAGTCTGGGCTAATAGAAAAGAATGTTGTTAAATTGCAGGAATTATTGACCCAATTGCTCAAACCCACCTACCCTAATCCCCTAATGGGTTTCTTCCAATCCTCTCTCACCACGTACTTGCTACCTTTCTTGGGGCCCCTTATTGGGATGCTCCTTTTTTGCACTCTCTTGCCCTGCATAATGAAGTTACTTCAAACCCAATTACAGAA